CCCTTGTTAATTGAGACACTCCTCTTCTCTCCTCGAGCAGACGCTAAACACATTGCGCTACGTAGGCAATGGATAAATGCTTATTCAGTTTTTAAATGAATTAGGAATCTGGTGGGATAGAAGAATTAAATGTTCAGTTTCCTTCTCCTCTTCTTCTGCACCAACCACAAGAGTCTTCTTTTCCTTCCCCTTTTCTTTCCTGTCTAGAAACCCCTATTTTCCAGGGTCAATTCAGACATGAGAAGACAAGACAGATTGTACTTTCGTTTCATATTTTTTCCAGTTCATTTCAGTAAAAACATAATATAAAAGGCATAGCCACCCTCTGCCCCTCCTGGGGGTGCTCCATCAAGCCTGTCCGTCTGGGTCACTCCAGTAGTTTATAGCTCGTCATGAGATATGTGCAGGGCATGGTCGCATAGATCTGCAAACAGCACATCACAATTTAAAGGAAAACCCCACTCTTGAACTGATGTATGCCACTCTCAAAAAAACACCCCCAACCATCCTGCCTATCTACCACCATTCTTCAGGTTGTTGTTTGTAAGTGACAAGCGACGTCACATCCCCACCACCCCTCTCACGTATATGTTAGTTCAGGGAGCCACAAAATCTGAACACTAACAGGAAAAGAATAGGGAGGAGCAACCTCAGCCCTTATGCCAGGGGCAATGGGAGCCCTAAGGCTAATATCATAGAGCTACTGGGGAACTCGGGCATGTGCCAGGCTCTACAGTCCTGAGGACGGGAGGTAAAGTCGGGGTAGCTCACCTGTTCGTTTACTACACAGTTTGTCTTTAACATTGTCAGCCTCTCTGGAAAAGAATTCAATAAGCTCGTCCTCATATTCCTCCACGATGCTCTCACACTACCAATTCAAGAGAGAAATGGGTGAGACCGGGCAGCAGGAAAGGGGTGTTTTGCCTCAGCCTCCAGAGAGGACCAGGACATTAATCCAACTTTCTATGTGGGCCCCACCCCACAGCCTAACTCCCACAAAGCTGTAACCCCCATCCCCATAGCTCACCGCAAACTTGAGGGTGCCACTGATGTCGGAATCAATTCGGATGCCCTGGAGATCCAGCTCACTGGCTTCTCCACTCCGTCCCACTACACGGATGTAGTTCTTGCGGTGGGTGGAAGGGTCAATCTGCTCCCCATATTCTTTCATTCGGTCACACACCTCTTCCAGCAGCTCGGTGAGGTGGGCCTCTGAGCGGGCATAAGGCACCTAGAAATGTCCTCAGCCGTGGGTCATTATCTTCTACCTTGGTACATCAGTAATTTATGCCCTTAATCTCTTTCCAAAGCTAGCTCAACCAACACATTCCAAAAAGCCTTCCCAAATTAAAAACAGTATCGTTTATTGATATATTTCCAAAGGACTTTCAACTCTGTGGTGAGAGATCTTGTTGCCGAGCCCTAGTCTATGATGTGTTCTCTTCCTTGCTCTTAAAGACCTCAGGTAATGTTATTCTTAGTGTTAGATGAGACTCCTACCTGCCCTTATTGAGAGGACATCTGAAGGAAGGATGATAATGACTAGCGAAGCATTTCAGACATCTTTCTTTACATAATCTTCACTAAGTACTGTTGTGCAGAGGTGTATGTTGGGTTTCAATATTAGAGACATTTGTAATTACAAGTTCTTCTGTGTCTTTTCTGAATAACTGTAATACCACCAAAGCATGAATATGATGAGTCATACGGATTAAGTACACAGAGAAGAGGCTCCCTGTCTGCTAATCACTTCAACAGAACCCAAAGTATTAAGGTTTGAAGCCGGGAAATAAGTACCTAAGGAATAGACCCCGGCCTCTTCCAAATTGTTTAGATAGCTCTGTAGGTCAGTGGGTTTTTTTCTACCATTTCTATTAAATGAAAGCATTTTCTAATTAGTTGAGGTCTCACTCAAAGCCAGGGGAAGCTATTTTATGTGGGGGAACAGTAGCAGTTACCTCCACCACTGACTGGCTGCCATCTGGGTTGATCCGGAAAGACCCCATCTGAATGGTCTTCTTGGGGTCCACCTGGGCAATTTCCCACTCCAGTTCATCCACCAGGGCCCTGCAAGCTGGTACAACAGGAGAGAATGGGAGAAGGGTGAAGAAGGGGTGCAATTCAGATTCTGATGGGTCCTTCTCCCAGTCCTTGGAACCCAAAGCCTCACATTGCCTTTATCTTCCTCCCACTTCTTGTGCCTTTACCTCCACAGTGCAGATCCTGGCTCCTCCGAGCCCACGCAGTGCTCAGCAGGGCCACCACCAGCAGGGCCAGCCAACCCCAGCCTTTCATCTTCAGGGTAGCGGGGCCGCTCCACCTGGGTTTTGGGGGAATAAAACATAGATGACGTGAGAGGCTAACCCCAGGTTTTCCTGGTCCTAGTCTCACGCTGGTTCCCCCGATCCTTTTCCAGGAAGTGGCCGAACACAAAGGGGCTTCTATGTAGCCTCTCTGGAGGGCTTCCGTTCCTCGGAGCTGGGGACGTGGATGCTAGGGCTCAGCCCCAGAGACTATGCGCAGACATCTAGGCGAGGCCCCTGGTTCTTGACCACAGTGTGTGGGGCTGACGGGACTAGGTGGAAGGGAGCCTGCATCCTGACTGATTTATGAGGACGCTAAGCACGGGGGCGGCGCAGGCAGGAGGAGCCTTCGGTCCGGCCCGGCGCGCGAGGCAGCGAAGTGGCTGGCCAGCGAGGGGCGCGTTGGGGGACGAGAAGCACTCCGACGCGACGCGACGCCGAGGAACCGGCATTGCCAACCCGAAGCCTAGGAGGCAGCCCCTTCCTGAGGACTCGCGCTGCGCCGCCCGCACCAGTCCCACCTCTGCTCGCGGGGCCGCCGTGGCCCAGGCGCTGGCAGGCCGTCGGGCTCCTCGGGGCGCGGCCGGGAGTCCCGGCTGCTCCCGGCACGGGCTGCGCCGTCAGGCTCCGCAGCCGCCGCGGGGCCGACCGGCCCGGACCCGCACTCCGAGTTCTCGCGCGAGCAGGCAGCGCCGGGGCTGCTCCGGGAGCGAGGACCCCGCGCGCTCCCGGGAGGACCCAGACTTGCGTGGCGAGCGGCTCCACGTGACCACGAGGGGTCAGCGGCTGAAGAGGTGTGGCCTGCAGCCAGAGCTGACCCCGGACGTGGTACGTGGGGGAGGTGAGGCGGATGTGTGTGTCGGTCCAGGTGCGGCAGCACGTTCCACAGGCAAGGTACACCGCCCATCAGTGGGAAGCCTCGTGGACTCCATCTCCCAGAAGGCACCACGGCAGCCGCCGCGTGGCGCCTCCCTGGGGCGCGAACTGCAGGTCTGGCTTCCCAGTCGTGCAGTAGGTTGCATGTTAGGCCATGGGAGAGGGTGGAGGACTTAGCTACTTTCACAACCTTGGACACCTAATAGGCACTTCTACTCTTCCCCTATAAGGCCACTGAGTCCAAATTGATTTGATAATTGTGTTTTTGGAGGTAGTTTGTCAGCATCCCGCCTGCCTTTTAATTATTAATGGGAAACTGTACTGTTATGTATTAAAAGAATCCAACCTTAGCTATAGCAAAGCCGTAACAGGAAAAACGTAAAATCCTCCACCTTCATAACGGTACTTTCTGTACTCCAGGGCACGGTCTTCATTTTTAGGTGGGAATTTGAATACAGCCCTCCTTTTTCCAGTTCTAACAGGAAGCCAACAGACAAAAAGGAACTAAACTCAGAACGACACACTAAGCCACCAAAGGTAAAACAATAGCCAATCATGTTTTTTGGTTTTATTTTATAAAACATGCGGTTTAAAATAAAAAATTTTAAATCATAAAGCAAAACTTGGGACAGGGGAGTGGATGGAAGACAGGCTGCTCAGCTGTCAGCAGGATGCCAGCAGCAGGCTTTGTCCTTTGGGCAATGGTGCTGTTGGTCACACTGGTTTGCTTGAGCCACCAAGACTCTGCGCTTGCTCCTCCAGACAGACATCCCTCAAACAGACTAAGTCCTGGACTACTGCTGGATCCTCTGCCACTGCCTAGGACTTCAGTCCCCAGCCAGCTGGGAAAAGAGAATTTTGGTTTCAGGGTGTTCTACACCTGGATTAATTACCCAGGAGGGTGTTTATTAAGAATACCAATCTAGGTCAGTTCTAGACTCATATCTTTGGTCCACGGTTTTGCAAAGGTAGAGAAGGAATCTGGCTTCTAGACCCTGTGTAACAATTCTGATGCATCCCAGTTCCTTTCATAGCACCAACTGCAGACCCAGATGGGGTCCATGTCTGGAAGTGGAAAGGGTATATAGCCAACTTAGAAAACCATCTTCCAGTTCTGGGGCCACAAAGACTAGAAGGAGAGGGAGTAGTTTGTTGAGAGAACGTGGGTCAGAGTGCCAGCACGGAGGAGAAGACAGCTGCATCTGTCAGAGACAAAAGCAAAAGCCATGACCGACCCTTAAGGTATGTGAAGTAAAAGAACTTGGGGGGCTTCCAGTGAGGCAAAATACAAAGGGAACGGAGAGTAGTGAGTCTGCCCCAACCACTTTAGAATTGGGTAGAGGAAGCATTAAGACCTGTGGAGAGTTTTAATAAAATATTTTTCACTGCCTGATGGAATGATTAAGTACTTTGTAAACTGTGAAATGGATTACAAATATAAGCCAGGGCTGGTACCATCATCATTGTCACTGTGATGAGTAAAATCCCCACATAAGAAATGAAACCCACCCAGTCCAGTTTCCCTTGGCCCATCCCAGGGCTTACTCTTAGGACTGGACTGGCTCTCCGGCTCTGGCACTTTCCAGTCCATCTTGCGGCCCTTCTCGTAGAGACCCTTGAGCACTTTGTGGAAGGACTCGGGCTCAGTCCCATTCTTGCTTAGCTCCAGATACTTTCGGTAGAGCTGAAGGGCTGTGCGGGCATCCTCGATACTGTCATGGGTCTCTCCTTGAATCTTCAGGTCTAGCAGAAATAGAAGTGGAAGCATTTGGGACCCAGCAGAGTAGGAATCTGCTCCTCTCCCTACTCTTGACTCTAGGAAACACAAATTTAAGAAATCTAACCAGATAGTGCTACTACTGCCACTGTGGCCAGAGAACCCCAACTTGTAGTTCCAAACAATGGCTTCGCAGTACATGTTTGTGACACACTAGAGGTCACTATAACTACTTTTGTGAGCATATATGGGAACGTCCTTCCTTTCGTTGCCTTGAACATAAGTGCTGAAGAAGTCTTTTTGGATGAATTACTACATGATGAAGGATATACAGTGAACCCTCGCCACTTCGCGCTTCGACTTCCGCGGCTTCCTCTATCGCCGTTTTTGTGTAACAGCACCCACTGCCTATACCCGCTCCTTCAGAGGAAAAAGACGGCGACCCACCTGTAGAGTACATCCCTTAAGTCATTTCATAGGCTATTGATTACAGTATTTGTAAGAATTATGTATAATAATACTGTATGTGAAATATGTAATACTGTAAACTAGATGCCATAAATAATATAATAAATGATAATTGTAACCTTCAAAATGTTTTACTGTATTTTCCCTTTTTCGTTTAATAAATTGGGTAATACGAGTGTAATGGTGACTAAAGGGTGTTTTTTCATGTCCTCTATGCTCTAACTACGAAAACATTTGATTTACAAATAAGGAATCCTACTTTGCGGAATTTCATTTATCACGGTAGGGTCTAGAACCGATTAACCGCGATAAATGAGGGTTCACTGTAGTTTGTTCCAAACTCTCTGGAACATGACTCAATCAGAAGGTAGTAAGGAAGTGATTGGCCCAACAGTAACTGCTGAGCACTACTCTGTCTGAAGCCCATGCCAGGCCCTCAAGGATGCAAAGTGCAAGCCCAGGTTCTTGAGTAAGAATGATGACAACAAAGCTGACGAGGGTCAGATAAATGGCAGCAGCCCTAGGACTGGAGATTAGATGGAGAGCTCACTGAGTGAGGTAGAGATCTCAATGACTCATAGCGACCCTATAGGACAGGGTAGACCTGCATCAGTGGGTTTCCGAGATGGCAATTCTCAGGAGTAGAAAGCCTTGTCTTTCTCCCTTGGAATGGCTGGTGGTTTCAAACTGCAGACCTTTGACACATAACCAGAACGCCAACTGGGCTCCTCAGGGGAAGGAAAACAGGACACTTGTCTTTAAGGGAACAGTCACACATCTTTCTGCCCAGTGACTCTCACCATTAACTCAGGTTGTTCCCGAGTCTAACTTGGCCCCCAACATGTTGTCCTACTCTGTATGAGCACCACAGGTAGAACGCTCACCCAGAAAGTACCAAGCAAGAAACCGCAGGGAAATCATTCGTTTTCGAGGCATATGGAAGAGGTACACCGTGTCAAGCACTTGGTCCTTGGGCACCTGGCAAAGGAAAAAGAGGGGGAGACTGAGGGCAGGGGATCCAAAATGTCCCATTCTCCAAAAGCACAAGTCTATACCCGGAGGGCCCACCCTCCAAAACTCTGTAAAAAGCTCAGTCCGAACCATGAGGTTGATGACCCGGAAGTCCTTCTGTAGACCATGACCTACAAATTTGACTCCAATGTCTATCAGAAAACGGAGTTTTAAGTAGGTAGACTTGAGAGTCGTGAGGTGCTTAGAGGAGATCTTGGCATCGAGGTCTCCGGGCTTTATCCCTGAGTATTGAGTCAAGTAATCCACCACCTGGAGAGAAAACCAGTCGCCTTAAGGAGTGTGCAGAATCTCCCCATGCCCGTCTTCCCTGGGTCCTAGAACAGGGTCCCTCACTCGCACCCCATATCCTAATACCTGCTCCTGTGTAGAGATGTAATCATCAATGAAGGGAATACCCTCATTGGGTCCTTGGCCCCGAACACAGGTAATCCTTGCTACTGACATCTGACTTGGTTTAATGGTAGATTTGGTGCCATCGCTGCGCAACTCAGCTTCCTCCTACATGAGAAGAGTTAATAAGGAAATCAAAGAAATGCTTGCTGCTCTGGACATTCTCCAAGTTCTACTCAACCCCTACTCTCCTTCTGGCCTTGGATACCTCATTAAGGGTGACAAACTCAGCATCGAGGCCCACCAGGTCCCCAACCTGTGGCATCTCACTCAGCATGAGTGGAATGAAGGTAGTATGTGTTTTCCGCTGTTTCCGTGCCAAGGAGGCTTCAGCCATCAGGACACTCGCCTCTATAGGGTTCTTGACTAGAAGAGAAAAGGCAGAGGGCAGTCACCTGGTGATAGGGAAGTAACCAGGGGAGGAAAGCCCAGGTGGACTGGGTCTATACTGTGATCCCTCAATGATAAAAGCATGTGAGCAATAAGATGATGCCTAATGAATACAGCAGGAGGCAAATCAGAAAATCATGAAATTGGCAAAGAAAAATGTGGAGATAGAGAAGAGCAAGCAAAATTTTCATTTTGGACCTTAGCTTAGAAATCCAGAAACATAAGGTTACAGATAAGCCTTAGGGGCTGAAGGCACTTAAGAATAAAAAAAGAAGACATCTTTACCTGGCAATAAGATGTGGAATGGTTAGCCTTGTACTCATAAACAGACATTCTGACAAGGCTTCAGTGATTTGTTCCACCCTTGTTGTCCCTCCCTCACCATTTTCCCACATTCTTCTCAATCTCTTTATCTCTAATCTCCCCGGGGATTATAAAACTGGTGGTAGTCCTAATCCTAACAAGCTATTTCCCTGATCTCTTTCCAAAGACCAATTTAAATTGCCCACACACCCTTTGGACCTACTCTGACCTGCCCACTTACTGTTCACGTTGTATTTGGAATGGAGATTCCTTTTGACGTAATAAAGGATAGCAGGGACTTTCCAATTCATGTTAAACTGCACAGCTTCATGCTGTAGAAGAGAAAAGCACTCAGGGCTTCTGTATACACCCCTTTCTCTTACCTCCCAAATTAGAGGATAGGACTCAATTGCTACTTTCAGTTCTGCTAATGCTTTGCTCCTGGGGCCACCCCCCACCCGACCCTCTCCTGATTCTGCCTGGCATTCCCTATGGCCCTGAGGGTAAGATCCCTATGGCCCTGAGGTAAGATCACTAGAAAATCAGAAGTTGGAAAAGGTAGTGGGATGTGTTGCAACTAACCTTATCAATGGGTTCAATAAGGAAGTCATTGAAGAGATACCACTGCTGGTGAGTAACGCCCTGTGGAGGTACAGAAAAAGGTGAGCCTTCCGTGGTGGCTGGACTGCTCTGGCTCAGACTCAAGACAAGGACAGACTTGGGACTCCACTAGGGTCATCCCCAGGCGTGTCCCTGCCCCGTACCACACCTCACTCACCTCCTTGCGCTGGTGGTAGGTCTCTCCAACTTTGATGTGAGCCACCAGGCTGCCCCCTGTGCGTGAGTCCAGGATGTGTACCACCGTGGCCATCAGGTCATACACAGAGACACCATGCTCCTCCTCCGCCCTGGCTGCGCCCCACTGGGAAGGGGATACCCAGGCTGCTAAGCTAAGTTCAAGGGTGGGGAAGGCAGGGGGGAGGGGATAGAGGGCAGGGAGTTGGGAGCATAGGGGACTGTAGACTAGGGTAGATTAGCTCCCTCCAGTGGCTTTGAACATTAACCGAGTCTCTCTAGCCCAGCGGTTCTCAACCTGTGGGTCTCAACTTCTTTGGGGGTCGAACGACCCTTTCACGGGTTGCTTAAGACCATTGGAAAACACATCTTTCTGATGGGCTTAGGAACCATGACACAGCTCCTCTATCCGTCTCCAGGTGGGTCTTCCAACACAGGAGTACCCAGCGTGAAAACCGTTACCCAGGCTACACCATGGTTCAAGACAAAATTTCATTTTTTGTCATTAGAAATAAATATTTCCCCCCAAAAAAGAAATAAATATTTCACAATATGTAATTACATATTGCTTTTGTGATTCATCACTGTTTTAATTATGTTCAATTTGTAACAATGAAAATACATCCTGCATATCAGATATTTACATTACGATTCATAACAGTAGCAAGATGACAGTTATGAAGTAGCAATGAAAACATTTTATGGTTGGGGGTCACCACAACCTGAGGAACGGTATTAAATGGTCAAAGCATTAGGAAGGTTGAGAACCAGTGCTCTAGAAAATCCCACAACTTGTAAATACTAAGCCTTATTCCCCTGCCCTTCCTCTTTACCAAGTCCTCTGCCCGGCATTTCCTTCTGCCCAACCTTCTCTCCCTCCTTCCCCTCTCCTTCCCAGTTTTCAACACCCTGCACCTCATCTCCATCAGTCCAATTGCAAACATCCAGCCCTTTGTTCTTGGTCATCTTCATGCGAATGGAGAAAGGAAGCCAGATATTCTTCATCTCCTCCATGGAGGGGCATCTCAGCATGCCCTCTGGACTCCCGAGCTCCTTCCTATGGGACACAGGAATGGAACTGGGCTGGGAAAAGAGCTAGCCCGTGGCAAGAGGCGCCACTGGCTAGTTCAGCCTTTGGACAGCTCCCAGGAGAGTACTTACCAATCGGACAAAGCAAAGTCCTTGTTCTTGGAGAGCTCCCCTGCGGGCTTCTTCACTGCCATCTTGAAGGCAAACTGAGCACAGAGGGAACAGTCGTGTGTGGAGATCCGAGGGAAGGGGAAACTAGAAGGCGTTCCTAAAAGGCCTGTTTTGAGCCCAAGTCCTCACCTCAGCCTGCATCCTCCAGAAATCAGCCTCTTTCGAGCTGTTCACCTCACAGTTGATGACAAGAATGTCTGGCAGATGTCGGATATTGCGGGTCTGAATCTGGGGAGAGAACAAGCCAGGAGCGCCAGGGTGCCGACAGGGAAAGCAGCTCTGCACCCTCAAACTGGGGTTCCTCCCGCCCGCTCGCTGCCAATGCTGCTGCCGCATCTGACCCCAGACGAGTCCCTCATGCGGCAGGCTCTTGTCCAACTCAATAGTCCACTCACCGTGGGCTGGAACTTTTCGCAGTTGTCACACCAGGCTTGTGTATTCTGCTCCAGGCAGATGCTTCGCTTCAGTACCTGGGCAAAGTCATAGTTCTTCCCGGTTTTATCTGAGAGGAAACTGATGCTTCACTCCTGGTTCTCCCCCCTCCCCCCTCCCCCTAAGACCCCTTCCTGCTGTTGCAGGACGCTTGGGGGAGCCTTCCCCGCCAGCCGCAGGTATACCACTGTTGCTACCCTCGGGGTAGGAGAGTGTGAAGAGCAGGGTGGAGGAGGCTCGCACGGTCTCACTGCCACAGCGGCACAGGCTGCAATTCTCCATCTCACAGCTGAACAGCTGCCCAATGACTGAGTCTCCCGAGGAGCAGAAGCTGCTACAAGTGGGAACAGTGACATGTGCACATGGAGGAAATCAGAAGACGCGTTAAGGCAGAGAGAGACTTGTCACAGGGGCTTTAACTACTCGTACCTGACTCCAGCACCTCGGTAGGCCTGGGCTACTTCCAGCTCCTGCATATCCTGATGCAGTTGAGTGAGAATGAACCGGTTCCACCTCTGGATGAGCCTGGCCAGACTGCCCTTGCCCGAAGCCTCATCCGAGTCTGCCAGGATCAGACCGAGGGCTGAGGCCTCAGGAATGGTGCGGAAGGCCCGAAGAAAATTGCTGCCCTGGAATCGACGTGTGTTGGTCAGTGGGAGTTTTCTCTCTGTGGTCCCTTGCACACCATCGACTCCCCTCCCTCTTCCATTTAAAACAGCTCACGTCTCTGAGCACGGACCTGGCATGGGTCACCACGGGAGAGGTCCAACATATGGAAGAGGAAGCCCAGCTCACATGCCAAGCAGAACTCCTTTTGGCAAAGGTGGTTTTGGATTAGACAGCGAACAGGCTCCAGGAAATAGAGCACCTGGAAGGGCGAAGGAAGAACAAGACAGCTGGTTCAGGAAACCAGGACAGGGAGTGGGAGCGAGGAGACAGTGAGCGGGGCTGTGAAGAACACAAAGCAGGAGTCCACTGAAGAAGCGGCGCTCACACAGAGAGGAAGGGCTGGATGCGGAATGATCGAGGTGGCCCTGGTAAAGTGGGCTTCGTTGAGGAGACCAGGCAGGAGAGCAGAAGTTGTGGAGCGCAGGGAAGAAGGCAGTTGATACGCTCAAGCCATAGGAATGCCGCAGCCTTACCTGGACCATGCAGTTACAGTAAGCATTAGGAATGTGGGGCTCTAGTCCGGCAAACAGGGTCTTGTTGTAGTGTTTGAAGTCAAAGTCTTCCAGCCCCAGCTTGGAGTATTTGATAGTCACCTGAGGTAGAGAGAGTCTGAGCCGGGCTGAAGATAGCCTCCAAGTCCCCCAGAGCCGACTCGCTCCTGGGCCCCAGCTTCCTCACATTACCCCTTTCCCCACAACCCACAGGGCCTCCAGCTTGATATCCCCAGTACCTTTCGGTATTTCTTAGAGACCATATGGAGATGCGGCTCCTCTTCCCGTCCTATTGGTGACTCCGTGACCTGGCTGAAGCTGTCAAATTTACTGTCTGACTCCTTGAGTCGGTAAGGAATCTAGGGTTAAAAAAAAAAAAGTTTGTAGGGTATCTTAATTATCTTTGGCTTCCCCTACCTTTATTGCAGCATTGAGAGAGCCACTAAGTCCTGAAACGTCTCTCTTCACAGTGTTTTCCACAGCCAATTTGCTTTGTCCCCCACTGCCATCAGGCCACTTCGTCTCCTTCCAACTGGATAACGACGATGGCCTCCCACACTCTGTCCAGTAGGCCACTACCAAATCCGCCTTCCCAGCATGCTTTCAGAGCATGGCTTCTTGCACTGCACATTGCTATTCAAAGCTTCACAGCCAGGCCCTTCTTAAACTTTAATCTCTTACTACCTCCCAATACCAACAGCTACTCCACCCAAGCTACTCCTCAGACACATTGTCTGCACGTATGTCTCTTTGAGACCTTGACTAGCACTGTTCTATCACCTCGAGTATTCTCCCGTGACTGCGACCCACAGCCAACCTCTCCAGGTCAACATCCACCTGTTTCTTTACGTCTTCTCTGGCCATTCCAGCCCAGAGGGACAGTCTCCCTCCAAACAGCTGTGGCACTGACTGCCTGTAAGAGTCCCAGATCTTCTGGAGTAAGTATGTTCATCAACCACACAGTGCATATCTTCAGAGCAGGGACTCTACCTTCTATGCCTCTGAATCTTCTCCGATGGCTAGGTCTCACTAGCACAATACTTTCAATCCAGAAGACTCTCAAAAGCCTAGGCTCAGTGACGGAGAACAAAGGAGCAAAGGAAAGAGGCGAAACCCCAGAGGGCTCCTCTCTCAGCATACCTGATTGCGCAGCCTGGTGCGGGGGTTAGGTGCGTAGCCAATGAAGCCCACTTTCTTCATGGTGCGCAGAATCTCCGCGTCCACAGGAGGTGCTCGCCTATGGTGCAAATTAGTTCTAAGGCTTGAAGGGTTATATATCCACCCATCCAATCCCCAGCCCCAAAGGGTACAGAAAAAAAGAAAACGCAGAGGTGGAAAAAAAAAATCAGAAAAGGAGCTTAATTATAGGGCTAGCAGAGAACTAACTCCTGGCATATCACCCCTTCCCCGCACTCCCTCCGTTTGGCCCAGATGTGAGGTACAACCTGGGAGCCGGAGCAGAGTTGGCAGCAGGCCAGTCAGAGAGCAGGGTGTCGGTGGTGAGTGGGACTGGGATGAGGGAAAGAGGCATCAAGTCCTGGCTCCAGTCCAGAGGAGGAAGGGTGTCCACCAGACAGGGCAAAGCAAATTCCGTTTCCCGGGAATAAGGGTTGAAGGAAGGCTCAGGGGAATCAGTCCAGAGGTGCACACAGCCTTCAGAATCTCCGAAGACCAGGGCCTGCTTGCTGGCTGACACGTCAAACGTCATCAGCAGAGGCCCCACGGGATTCACATGGAAGATGTCAGCTGGGTTGGCCAGGCCTGTGGGCTCACAAAACTGGCACTGCCCTAGGAGAGAGGAGGAAGACCGATGTGCCCTGGAAGGTGAAAAAGAGCCAGTCCTACCCTCTTCCTCAGCAAGATGGGTTCCAAACTCCTGCCTGGTAATAGAGTATCTGCTACATTCTCATAAGGCACTGGAAAGGGGAAGTCTAGAGTTGTTTTGCCTACACCACCTTTCATGTCTTCCCCGTTCTGCACACCCGAGGATAAATGAAAAGTTTTAATCCCTGACCAAACCTCAGTGAGACCCTGGGGCCCATTGAAAGGCTACTTTCTGTCCCACCCCCACCCTTCTGGTAGTGCCTAGTTTCCCGTCATTCACCAACCCTTCCTCCTCCATCCTGCATCCCCTGCCTACCTGACTGGGAGATAATAGCAAGACGAGAAGTATAGGTAGGGATAAAGCGCAAGAAGGCGGGGTCCACGTGTACTTGAAGGGGAGTGATGGCCCGCATCATACGGAGGTCGTACACCTTGAGGAAGCGGTCACAGGCCAGGCCAGAGAGGCGGCTGGAAAAGCCACAGGCAGCCAGCAAGTTGCCGTGCACGTCAAAATCTGACAGACTCCCTGAGAAGGCGTCAAATTCATGCTCCACCTTAAAAGTACGGAGGTCTCGCAGGGAAAGCTGAAGAAGAGAGAACTCAGTTACAGCTAAGGCTCTTAGCAAGAAGGGCAGTTCTGCCTACCTGATCCTGTGAGCCCCCGAACTCTAGGATACGGACAACTTGAGCACCGGAAAAGCAAAAGGACAAGCCAAGAGCTGCCAGGGACCCCAAAGAGAACTCTTGTTCGCCCGTCTGCCTCTAAGCTATCTAGTTATGATAGAAAACACCAGGGTGCAAGATAACCTCCAACTGGAACAGGGCTAGCTGCCAAGGAAGTGAACCCACTCGCTCATCCCTCCTCTCCAATTCAACTGCATTCTCTGAGGTAAGGAAAGGGCAGACCCCAATCAGACAACTGGTGAAACAGAGCCCCGTGCTGTGAGGAATATCGGAACTTGGCCACCTTGCCAGATGTATGGCCACAGAAGAAGAAGCGGTTTGTCTGTCTCATGATGGTGACCCCAGGCATCTCGACTGCGTACTGTGGGGGGGAAAGCAGGAGAAACCAGTGTGAAAAGATTGACTCTTCCCACAAAGAACAGAAAGGCCAATGAACATTGCAGGCACTTTCCCAACCCGGATACACTCCACGTTCCCCAATAACCCCAAGCCCTGCACGGCCTTGTCCTGCCTTGGCCTTCTACCTTCTGTGTCTCCTGGACAGTGTTGAGGTCAATCTCTAGGATGTGGTTCTGCAGCCCGCCAATGAGCAGAGTACTGCTGTCAGTTAGCAGGAGACTATGCATATCCTCACTCTCATCCAACCTGTGGGCACAGGAGAGGCAAAGGCTCAGGGTCTCGTGCACCGTCAGCCCTTAGCCTGCCCACTCTACAAGGAAGCCTCAGTCCAGGCCTGAGGAGCCACTTACAGGTAATCAAATATGATGAGGCCCCCACGGGCCATATACTTGAGGTTGTTCTTGGTGAGAAAAAGGATACCATTCTCCAGGCTCTGGATCTGCCGGATGTCGTCACTGCCATTGACCTGGAAGGATGAATAGCGCTCCAAGGCGGGGCCAAAAAATGAAGTGGCGTGGCCCTGCATGGGACAGAAAATGACAGGGATACCTCTGGGTGGAGAGGAAGGGCCACTGCAGATTCAGATCGGGACTGGGTATTGCTCAGCCTTTTTCCATAGCTAGCTTTTCTGGCTAGCAATAAGAAGCTCAGAGCTAACAAGTCAACCTCAGTGATAAAGACATTTTGCTAGGAGCCCTGGTAGTGTAGTGGTTCCACACTGGGCTTTGATCTGCAAGGTCTGCAGTTCAGAACCACTAGCCACTTCAAGGGAGGAAGATGGGGATTTCTACTCCTGTAAACAGTTAGTCTTGGAAACTCACAGGGGAAGTTCTACCCTGTCCTATAGGGTTGCTATGAGTCAACTCGATGATATTGATTTTTTTTTTTTTTGGGGGGGGCGGTGTTACTTTTGTTTAAAGCTTTACAAAGCACTTTTGTAAACTCAACCTTACTTTATCCTTTCAATGACTCTGTTGGGTAGGTAATGACTCAGTTGGTTAGAGCAGTGCTCTAAAGGCCAAACAAGGACTGGCAAGAAGAGGACCCTTTGTAACCCTGAGTTGCTCTAATGAATCCATTTAGTCCAGCCTCTCCCAATCGCTCCAAAAAACGTCAGGACAAAAGTCCTGCCCTCCACTGGCAGGCTGACTTCATGTTCAACAGCCAAGTCCTAATACCAGCTGCCATCTAGGAATGTGCACTGAGAGTCACGGGCGGGAACAGACAGAATGTGAAGGTCATTGCGCCCTTGGTTTCTGACTTCACGCTCTCCTGCTGCTTACATCACACCTTCCCCTGATAGGCTCCCCTCCTTCAGACTCCTCCTCAAACCTGGCTGTTCCCAGCCCACTAGATCCTCGCTCTGCTCTCTTCCTAGGTAATCTCGTCCACTTTGACGTCCATCTTACTGCTATTGTTTAAAATAACACTTTGTGGTTATTGAGGCTATACACAGCAAAAATGCACACAATTTGACCGTTCTTCTGTGAGCACGTGGTGACACTGCTTATGTTCTTCTGTTGTGCAACAACTCTCACCTCCTGCCCGGGTTGTACCTCCTCTCACACACTCACTGCCCTTCCCACTCAAAGGTGCCTACCCAGTCTTCCAGGTTGCTGTCATCAGTCTGACTCCATACAGATGACCGTAAAAAGCATGATGCTCAGTTCTTTATTAGATCGACTGAGCTATCATTTCACGTAAGAAGAAGTCGAGGGTTATTTCTAGTTTAAAGACTGCCTCAAGGCCATCATTTCATAGGTTCATCTGCCCCCTGGGGCTCCAGAAAGCCTGGCGTCCACAAGGACTGTTCTACAGAATCTTTGATCCGTTTTCCGGTCTCATGGCAAAGGAGGCAGCTGTCCATAGATTGCATCCATCTTCAAGCTGATGATCCCCAATTTCTTTATCCCCAGCCCAGACCACTGCCTCAGCCCCAGGCAGTGCCTAAAGCATTTTATACTAAAATGCTTCCAATACCTGCTAAGCGTTTCTCCTTAGATATCCTCTATAAACCTCAAACCCATTCCATCTTAAACAAAATTCATCATCTTTCCCTACTTCAGTTATTATATCCCTTATGATAACATGATGTAAGCCACAGATCTGGTGATCAACTTATGTCCAATTTGTTCCCTTAACATTTCCCGAATCTAATCCTATGTATTCAGTTTTACTGGGCTACATTCGGGTCTTCGTCTTTTATGTCCATTCTACAATGAGCTATAAATTGATCTCACTACTTATTTCCCTGCCCCTCCCCCTTAAATCAAACTGCTACCTCAGCATTCCACCTAAGATGCAAATCAGACCTTGTCACGACAGATCTGAAGGATCAGATTCAAACTCCTAACGTCCTATTTGAGGCCCTTCGGAAATTCTTCCCCTAGCTATCTGCATGGCTCCCCTCAGCCTTGCTAATGGCCTAAAATGGATATCTTGACCTGCATCCAGGTTTCTACTCAAATGTTACTTTATCAGAATTACCTTGCCAATATCTAAAATAGCAACATTTCCCACCCTCAACTCCCTGCTGTACTGTGGTTGTTGTTGTTGTTGTTAACTGCTTATTCTACTAGGAGGGGCACACTGGTGGCATGCTGGGCTGCTAAGCACAGTGTCAGCATTGCAACCCACCAGCCTCTTCCCGGGGTGGGAGAAAGATGAAGCTGCCTGCCCCTGTCACTATTCACAGTCTCAGAAACCGCCCAGGGCCAGTTTTAACCTGCCCTGGAGGGCTGCTATGAGTTTGAATCCACTGGATGACAGTGAGGTTTGTTTGTTTTTGGAGGGGGTAGAGGTTGACTTATTCCACACTCAGACCCTTGAACAAGAACTGGTTCTGAGTAAATGTTCATGAAACACTGGTGTAATGAATAAATGTCTATCTCTTTACCTTTGGCTTCCAGTCCAGAAAAACCTGCTTGCTTATATTTGCTGTACTCCCTATGCTGGGTAATATATTGCTCTTGCAATTGTTGGTCTTGCAAGACAGCCTTTACTCTGCTTCTCCACCTGGACTCCTGCTCCTCTTTCAAGACTCAGTTCAATGCCACATCCTCGTGGAAGCGCTCCCTGACTCTCTTCTATGCTTTCAAGCATCGAGCACTTATTTACACAATGGCACTTAGTATCACAGAATCCTCTATTTGCCTCCCCCACCTTACTTTCCTTTACTGTCCTGTAAACTCTTTGAGGACATGAGTTATGTTTAATTCATCGTTATTTCCTGAGCCTGGCATAGTAGTAGGCACTGCCTACTGAACTGAATGAATCATACACACCAAATGCGTCCCTTCTTGGCAGAACAATCCACATCCTATGGAAGGTAGACTACATGCATGTTACTTCTTACGAAAGCTTTGGGCTCCATCCCATATTGGCAATACAAACACAGAGTTTAAGAAACAAATGGCAAAATAAACAAATAGCCCCTGTAAGATATGCAGAAATATGCATTAAGCATTCTATCGTTATAAAAAACGAGACAGAGGAGGGGCATTACAGGTTGAATTAGGGGGGGGGGCTACAGAACTGGTTATCAAGGTTAATCAAACCATGGGGATAAGCAAATTGTAAAAGTAGGGTGTCTTATCTGTATCCTCTGGCTCCCCATTGCTCCTTCCACACTCCTGTTGTCTTAAGAGACACAGCTAACGCTCATCACCTCAACTCAGACTCTCTGCAAAGCAGCTGTCTTTGGGATAAAACCAGACAAAAGACCCCCACCATCTCCTTTCAGGTCTCACAAAGGAGTACAGTTCTTTTGTTGCTGTTGTTGTTGTTAGTAGTAGTAGTACAGTGCTTACCCCATGGCTCCCCACCCATAGCATCTCCTCGTGTAAGTCAAAGTGGGAGACGGAGACAGGCACGCCCACTTCAGCCACCACACTGTGCAATTCTGAGTAGACACCTTCCATTCTGTGCATTGACTCCTGGACCGGAAGAGCCTCCAAGGCCACTCCCTCTGGATCCAGCTCCACGTTCTGCAACAGACTTGGGTTCAGGTGGGCATCCAGGACAGGGTCCAGGGCAGAATGCATAGCCGGGGCATACTCTGCCAGACCAGGGTCCAGACTCTCAAAGTTCATGATGATATTGGCAGCAATTAGACCCTTCCCTGCCACAGCCCCTTTGGATGCCTGACCCCACCTTCAGCAGGACAGCACAGCACCGGGAGGTATACAGCGGGCATCATGGCCTGCAAGGGGAAAAAGGTAGCTGAGTGAGGGTAGGCCCACCTATCGATGCTTAGTGTCTTCTCGGTTGTGTGGGGCACATGGCCGGCGATGGGTAAGGCTGTCAGGCGGAGGGTAAATAGGCAGGAAGGGACTGAACAGTAGGTGGAGGTGGGAATGCCAATGTCCCTTTCCATCCTCCCCACCGCACCCCCCTATTAGACCTAATCCTTGACTTCTTTTTCACCTCCCTGCAGGCTTCATATGTTTGGTTCTGTCCTGAGCATCAGATAAAGGGAGCAGAAATTGCGGGGAAGGGGGCTTGGCTGTCTGTTTCCCAGAGTTGGGGGTGGGGAATTGGGAGGTAAAGAGAACAAGAAAGTCCGTTTCCTAGAACTCAGCAATATAGCTACCTAATATTCTCTAGGGAAGAATGGCCAGTTACCCACAATTGGGGCGGGGGCGGAAGGGGGATGAGCACGGCTAGTTACCCAGAATCCTCTGGGGAGACCAGAGAAATCGGTTACCCAGAATTCTCCCCCGAAGGCAAGGAGGGGAGGGATTAGGGCAGAGGTCAGATGTGTTCCTGGGATGCTTGGGGAATGGGTCATTACCAAGATTTCTCCATGGCGGATATTTTGGAGCGCGTGGAATTAAAACGAGTAGGGGGAGAGCAAGCGCCGTCAAGTCCGCGGGAAATTCCAGTTTCCCCAATTCTCCCCCGCGCCTCAGGCTCAACCGAACCCTATGAAGGGAAGAACGGCCAACTCCCAGTCACACCCTCCAATCAGAAAGGACCCTGCGGCGTCTAAGCCAATCAGGAGGCGCCAAGTACTAACTGCTGCGAGGAGGCTTGAGTGACGCGCGCGCCGGGCCAACGCGCGCTTACGGCGCGCCGACGGGGACAAACGGAGCCGGCCTCTGGAGCGGTGGTGGTGTTAGAAACCACTTCCATGTTAAGCACCCGCCCCACACATACTTTTTTTTAACAGAAAATACGAGCTCCAAACTTGGAGAGTAAACTTCTGCGGGAGGAAGATGAAGCTGGTTGTCCCCTAACGATGTACTCTGGGCAGTACGGTCACTACGAGTCCGAATCCACTCAGTGGCTGGGAGTTGTGGGTTTGAGAGGGTTTTTCAGTGATTGAAAAAGGAAAAAATCCTCTGGAAACTAAGCCGATCGCCGGGCATTCCCAGGTCGGTCTGTCCTACGCTCCCCAGTCAGCCGTTGACTGCTGCTCCTGAAACTCGCTGGCATTTCCTATCGTTTCCAGATAGCAAGAGAAAAAAGGAAGTGGGAGCCAGGCTTGTTACGTGGCTCTAGTTATTCTTATGAAGACATCCACGTGAAACCGGCGCTGTGATTGTACCCTCTACCGGGCCCCAAACACTGCCAGGGAGCAAGCTGCCTCCTCAGGCTGGCAAATTTCCCTGGCTGGTTGACCTGGACTTTATCCGCTAGAGGGGGATACACTTAGCTGAGGGAGACATTTGCTTCCTGGATTAGCTTCAACAGCAGCTCCTCCATGGGAGAAAAATGTGGCTTTTTTCTCCCATAAACAGTTACCGTCTTGAGAACCCACAGGGACAGGTCTGTCCTATCGTATAGGGTCGCTATGAGTCGGAATCGACTCGATGGCTATGAGTTTTTTAGCAACTATTCCAAGGGAGTTCTAGGGTTTTGAACTGCTTTGGATGGGACCTAGAAAGCGATGTGTCTGCAAGGCACTTTAACTCAGCTACTGACTATTGTTTTTTTTTTTGACTATTGTTTTTTATAGAACGTGCAGAGGTTTCCAATTGAGAGAGACTGCACAGACCCCTAGCTACAGAACCTGAGGCACCCTAAGACCCTATAGTAAATGAGCTATATTCTAAGTCACCAACACTCTTGCCTCTACACAGTACTCAATGAAACGCAGTCATTAAGAATACAGGCCCACTGGAGACCCCCTTGCAGAGGGGCCTCGGGGAGGAGACGAGCCAGTCAGGGGGCGATGTAGCAACGATGAAAAATACAACTTTCCTCTGGTTCCTAAATGCGTCCTCCCTGCCCCCACTATCATGATCCGAATTCTACCTTGCAAGTCTGGCAAGACCAGAGGATGTACACTGGTACAGATAGGAACTGGAAACACAGGGAATCCAGGGCGGATGATCCCTACAGGACCAGTGGGGTGAGTGGCGATACTGGGAGGGTAGAGGGAGAGTGGGTTGGAAAGAGGGAACAAGGATTCTATATGTGACCTCCTCCCCGGGGGACGGACAACAGAAAAGTGGGTGAAGGGAGACGTCGGACAGGGCAAGAAATGACAAAATAATAATTTATAAATTATTAAGGGCTCATGAGGGAGGGGAGAGAGGGGAAAATGAGGACCTAATGCCGGGGACTTAAGTGGAGAGGAAATGTTTTGAGAACGATGAGGGCAATGAATGTACAAATGTGCTTTACACAATTGATGTATGTATGGATTGTGATAAGAGTTGTATGAGCCCCTAATAAAATGATTTAAAAAAAGAATACAGGCTCTCGGGAGCCAAATTGTCTGCCCTGGAATTCTGGCTACTTACTAGCTGTGTGCACCAGTCAGTGATCTCTGGAGCTCAGTTTCTTTACCTGTAACACAGATCTTTCGAATCAACTGCCATCCAGTCAGTTCTGACTCATGGTGACCCGATAGGGTAGAACTGCCCCTGGGATTCCAAGACTAACTCTTTATCACAGAAAGCTCATCTTTCTCCCTCGGAGCAGCTGGTGGTTTCGAACTTCAGACCTTGAGGGTCACAGCCCAATTCGTTACCACTCTGCCGCCAGTGCTCCCTGTACCTATAACAGAGGGATCATAATAGAACCTATCTTCCAAAGTGGTTGTGAGCATGAAATAGTTTGCAAATGTAAAGTGTTTAGACCAAGCCCTTGGCATAAAGTCAGAGTTGGATAGCTATTAGCCCTTGCTATTAACATCTAGGTTATTAACCATCTTCACCTGGATTTAGAGTCTGAACACCTACCTAGAAAGACTAGCTTAGGAGTGTCTGGGAAATGTGATTTGCATACCGGTTGTCCCAGCTGACGTCAAGTGCCTTTAGTAGCTCCAAGTCCGATGCCGCCCTGGAAGCAGTTCCTGCAACCCAACATTCCCACAGCTGCCCCACCAGCGTTGCTTCCTGTGCAGCTCCAGCAGCACCAGGAAGTGAAACAAAGCGGCCCAGCCCCGTGCCTCCAACTCACTCTTACCCTTCTCACCCCCAGGGTTCCACTTCCTCTTCCCTCTCCTCTTCACCTTTCATCCCCTATCCTTTATGGCTCCCAGAGGTGAGAAGAGCATGAGAGAGGATACACAAGTGAGGTGAGGGCCCCGCCTTACTGCCTCCAATATCCTTATGCCGCCCGCCCGTGTCCCCTCTTCGTGCGTGCGTGGGAGGCAAACCGCTGCTCAAGCAAACCTCGGTAACCTCTCTGGTGTGGGACTGCGTTTCATCGAAAGGGTAGATTCACCACCGAGTCATAATATGTGAGCCAGAGGGTTCATCGGGCGGTTTTGAAGGGAAGGGAGACCCCCTCTTTAAGGCAAGTTTCTCAGAGGAAAAGGGTCATCCTCTAGGGGAGGCTGGGGGAGCCGGTTGTGTGGTCACCTATGGCCTCATACTGACGTCCCTTTTGCCCTGGGACCCTCCACTGGGGTTGGGGCAGTCCCAGTTTGGGACCACCCTCCCTCTGCTCCCACGCCCAAGCTCACTCTCTGAGCTGTTTCCCTGTGGGTTGCAACAGGGAGGGTGACGCCATCAGTGACAGTGGATTTTACCCAGGGGTGCAACAGGCTGAAGGACGGGGCTGCTTCCCTGCCTCTGTGCACCTTCCCCTTCCCAGACCTCCTGTCCTTCCGAGGCTAAGGTTAGGGGCTGGCCGCTGGAATACCAGAGTCAGATTTGTAGCCCCTGGTCACAATGGAGCCCCCAAAGAACCAGAACCCTTGGACCGCTAGGGTTGAGGACTCCAGTGGTTCTTAGCATCAACCCTCCCTCTGCAGCGATCCTTCCAACGTCTGCCAGGAGGCCTGCCGTGGGAGAGCAGTAAGACCGTGTACAGCACCTGTGCGCCTCAAAGCAGACCCACCCAGTGAAAATAACACCCTTCTCAACAGAGAAAAGTAACCCCTGTTGTAAGGTAGGTCCTTTGGGTGACCCAACGGGTCCCTGCTAAGTGCTAACGCAAAAGATGGCTGTTGAAACCCACTGAACAGTGGTGCAGGAGAAAACCCTGGAAATCTGCCGCCACCTGGGCTACAGCCAACACAGCTGTGGGCTGCAGCCCTTCGCTGAGGAAGCAGGTAGTTCTTAGCATCAACCCTCGCTCTCTCTTCGCAGCGACACTGCCGACTTCTGCAGGGAGGGCTGCCGGACCCACCCGGGACGGCCTTCTCTTGTTCATTCTGAAATAAGGGGCATCAGGTGGGAACCCAAATCGGCATTCTAAACTGAGCTTGTCATTCTACAGGGAGATGAACGAATATGCTTCTCTGCTCTTGTTTTGATTCCCCAGCGGGAGGTGAGAAAATAAGAAATCACCTGGGATATAGCTTTTTTTTCTTTTTGAAGGACAAAAAGATCAGGGAAAGGTTACTCAGGAAGGAACTTGAGACAAGCTCCGCCCCGTCTGCATACGAGCACTGTGATTCCTGGAGAGCATTACACATATGACCCGTCCCTGGCCTCCAGCCACAGCAACCAGACTCAGATCCCCTGGAACCCGGGCTGCATACCTGGGCTCCCCACAGGGGATGATGCAGGGAGGGGAATCCCACCTGCAGTGAATCACCCCTGGGATAAAGGGCGGGCCCGACAATGCGGGGACCTTAAAAAGAGACTCCGAGATAAGAGGAGAAAAAGAACAGGAAGCAGCTCGGAACAGACAGTAGTAACCAAGCCAGAGAAGCAGAGAGCATCGGGCTCAGACGGGGAAGTAGACAGATTCCACAAGGACTGGTGTCAGGCACCGAGCCAGCCAGATTCAAGAAGCAGGCACCGAGATGCTGCCGCAGGGGAGTATGGCTATGATGCTGCTGTGGCTGCTGCCTTGGACCACTGAGGGCCGTGCCGTGCCCGTACCTGGGAGCAGCAGCCCCGCCTGGGCTCAGGGCCAACAGCTCTCCCAGAGGCTCTGCACCCTGGCCTGGAGTGGACATCCGCCAGTGGGACACGTGGTGAGTGGCAGCTGCAGGGAGCATCTCCCAATCCTCAAGACCCGCAGAGGGGGCCTGAGGCAGAGAGGAGGCTGGGGGTTGAGGGGGTTTGTTTCATGGCCATCAAAGAGTGAGAGGGTGACCAGGAAGTGGAGTCCCTGGGAGACTGATGGGCCTGTGGGTCCCCGGTGGGGTTTGAAAGGACTCGTGTGACCTTTTCACTCTTCCCACCCCTTCTGCCCTCCATTTCAGGAGCTCCCAAGAGAGGAGGGCGAGGACGAGACGACAGAGGATGGTCCTCATATCCAGTGCAGGGATGGCTGTGATCCCCAAGGACTCAGAGACAATAGTCAGGTAGCAGGAAGATGGGGCTGGGCCACAGGGAGGGGCGCCCAGGAAGACGGCTGGCAGGATGGTGCAGTGGAAAGGTTGGGTCTGAGATGGTAAAGAACCCGAATAGGGAGGAGAGCCTCACCTCCCTGAACTGCTATCTTCCCTCTTTAGTTCTGCTTGCAAAGGATCCACCAGGGCCTAGTGTTTTATGAGAACCTGCTAGGCTCAGACATTTTCACAGGGGAGCCCTCTCTACGCCCTGATGGCCCCGTGAGCCAGCTGCATGCCTCCCTCCTGGTCCTCCGTCAACTTGTGCAGGTATGAACTGGGGACCTGGAGGATGGGGGCGTCCAGATGTCAGAGACAGGGGCTGGGGGACCCAGGGGCTGGAGTCCTATTTCACTGTGTCTTGTCCTTCCAGCCCGAGGATCGCCCCCAGGAGCCTCAGCTGGCACCAAGCCCCAGTCCCAGCTTGCCTTGGCAGCGCAGCCTTCTGCGGCTCAAAATCCTGCGGAACCTGCAGGCCTTTGTGGCTGTGGTTGCCCGGGTCTTTGCCCACGGAGCAGCCACTCTGAGCCCCTGACACCAACGGCTTCCGGTGACGGCCCGGTCTCCATGGCTCAACAAGGGCGAGATCAAATCTACCGGGCCAGCAATGGGGTGACTGATGACAAGACTGAGTATTTATTTGATGGGAATATTTGCTCTTCTTTATGCTCAGGGGAGGATAATTATTTATTATATTTATACTGAATGATGTACTTTTTCAATAAAGATTTATTTATGTGAATGTCTGAGTCAAATTTCCAGGCTGGGTTGGGAGAAACGCATGAAATGGAAAATGAGGCCAAGGGACTGCAATATGTATCCCTTTTTTCTTTCTCTGAAGAGTCATGGTGGAGTGGTATTTTCCCATGACCCCATAGAATAGCTAGCAATAGCTAGGATCTTCCCAACATTAATCCCTGAATGGCCAAGCAAGCAGAATGGGATTGTAGGAGATGGTGGTTAGGAAGGTGTTAGGAGGTTAGGTTAGATGTCCCTGGATGGGACACCTCTCTGGATCATACAGGGCCTCCTTCTTCACTCTCTGGCCAAGGACAAGAGCCTTGCTCACCTTCTAGCGTGATTAAGCCTCTGGCAGATCCCCGCCAGTCTTCTAGGGGCGAGTATTTCTTGCTTGTTCCATGACAAAAATTCCTCACTAGCTAAAAATTTATGGTGGCCTTTTCTTTCTTACCCACTATTTGTATTTTTATCTCTACTATTATTATTTTATCCTTACCACTTTGTTTGCTTTTCACTGTTTCTGTTGAGTTTTCCAGTTTTCGAAGCACAGAAGTAGAGGTATAGAGATAGGAACTGATAACAAGGGTTTATAGGGGAGGGAGAAGTGAGGGTAGGAGACAGGGAGAATGGGGGGGTTAAGGGAGCAAACAATGTATGTGGGAGGGAGGAGGGAGCACTCTCTGGAACTGATGGTGATTACACAACTCATTTTAAAAGTTACATATTTAACCATGTGGGGTGGAGAAAATATTCTAAAATTGACTGTGGTAATGATTACACAACTCTCCTTGATATGATCAAAGTATTGAATTGTGTGATACATGGATTAGGTGCCTATAAAATTAAAAAAAATACATTTAATTTAAAATTTAAAAAAAAACAACTGAAAGCCTTGCTCACTGCAGGAGCAAAAATCAGACTCCCTCTTGTGCAAGGCGTTCCAGGAAGATGAAGGTAAACCCTCGAGCCAAGAGGATTCCCCCATCTGCTGGCCCCTGTGGAAGGAAACGTGGTTCCCCAAGATACTAACTAAACTGCCTGGGAAAAGAAGGGTCCTGGGACGATGTTCTCTCCGTAGACGCAGTGTTGGAAAGGACATGGGCTTTGGAGCCATGCGGAATCAGGTTTGTATGTTGGTTTTGCCACCGAACGCCTGGGTGAGCGACACTGGGCTGTTTTTCTAAGTATCTGTCCCCTCCCAACGCGTTTGGTGCTCACTCCATCAAGCCAAACGCACTACAATGGAGTCCGACTCAAGAGCCCTCTCTAGGGTTTCCAAGGTGGTAGATCTTTACGGGAGCAGGTAGCCTCATCTTTCTCCCCAGGAGGGATGGGTGGGTTTGAATCACTGGCCTTGTGGTTAGTAATCCAGTGCTAACCCCACAGCGCCACCAGACTTGCTATCTACAGTCTAAGAGACAGAAAGGGCTGCCCTCAACAGGAGGGAAGAACAAAGGGCATACGGGAGTGGGTGGGACAGAGGCTATCCATTTTGCTGACCTTGTCCTCCAGACCTGCCAGTGTCCCAAAAGATATGAGTCTGTGTGTGCGAAGAAATGACGGTGTTCAAAGCTGAATCACTTCTGGGTCAGTAGAGAGTTTATTGGTCACACCTGCTCAGGAGGCCCCTTCCAAACAGGGCCGCTCCAGATGCACCAGGCAGGAAAGGGCTACAAGCTCTGGGCTTCGCTTTCAGGTACTCCTCCCGGGACACCAGCGGCAAACCCTGGGGGATAGTAGTTGGCCCTGGGGCTCCCTGGCTGGCGAAAGTGAGGCGGGTCACCATCCCATGAAGAACCCTGAAGGTTTTAAGCATCAGAAACTTGGGCCCAGCCCCCAGGAAGAGAGACCCTTCTTTCAGGTAAAGCATGGTTACTAGACAAAGGGGGATGATGCTGTCTTACTAGAGAAAGGGCTGAGACCCAGGACTTCTCTTCCTCTGACAATACCAGACTCTGACGCTCTCCAGGAGTGCTTTGTGCCCTCAGCCGCGGGCAAGTGAAGACAGGGTGCCCACCTCCAGGAGCCGCTGGGTGGGCGGCACCCGTCTGCAGGGGGGGCAGGATGTAGCTCTCACTTAGGGGCAGCAGGGAGGCCGGCAAGGGCAGGAGGCCTGCCTCCTGATGGCCTTCTTCAGGGCGGAGCTTCACAGGGTGGGGTGAGGCACAGAGCCCTCTACCCCAGAGGGAGAAGAAGAAAGTTTGGGCTTGAGACAGGAACAGGTGATCCGAGACATAAAGGAGGCCCCGGACCAGAGTGGGGTCCTATCCTGTGTCTCCCCCTCCCCACTGAGGGGATGTAGTGTCATGGTGCACCAATTTTCCTTTACACCCAACTTAAACCCACTGCTGGTTGAGTTGATTCCAACTCATCGCGACCCCATCGGGCAGATTAGAGCTGCCCAGAGAGGTCTCTCCATCATTAAGGGAGCAGGCTGCCCCCGGCTCTCCCCTTGGGCTTGAAACCACTGGCCATCTCTGGTTAGCTGCTCACTGCTTCTCCATGGCACCTGGCCTGGCTGCAGGGCTGGGTACTTTACCAGCTATTAAGAAATCCAACACTTCCCTAAGCTCCTCAAGTACACTCCCAACTATTTGGGCTCATCCTTGGCACCCCTGAACCTCGTGGGCACAGCTGGCACAGTGGCTAGAACAACGGCCAGTGGTCTGACAGCTTCGTACCCGCCCCTAGGTAGCCGTGTAATGCTTTCATCTCTCACTCCAAATGCCCCGGGGTTTCTGGGTTTAAACGTTGTTTAGACATGCCTGCTTGAGGAACACCATGACGTGGGTGTGGGTGTGGAAGGGCGATTGAGGGTCAAGACAGAGGGAAAGGACAGAGGCGATATGCAGTTCCTAGAAGTCGGAAGGACTCCAGCATCCATCCACCTGGAAATGACTGGCACAGGAGCTGTACGCGTCATCCACGGTGTTCGGGCCAGGCAACAGAGGGTCCCCGCCCATCATGATTTCTTCAATCTTCATAGCATCGTTTCTGAAAACTGGGGGAGCCAGGGGGAACCCTGCTGACTCTCAAGCAAGGATTCAGCAACCCAGCAGGGGAAGTGAAGGAGGATGGCGGTGCGCCCGGGATGGGGCCCACGAAGGCTTCCCCAGGGGATGGGGGAACAGGGGATTGTGCATTTCCTTTTCAAAGGGATCACCAGCGAACAAGCGTCCCTCCAATGAAGATCTTGAGCACAGCCCTTTCTGGATGTGCGAGGGGAGGGGCTGAAAAGGGATGGTCCCCTCTGCCCTAGGCCCGCCTCCTCACTTACTTTTCATTCTCTCCATGTCCAGGTGTATCAGATCGGGCGGCAACTCTGGCTCTGCTATTTGCTCTGGTCCCAGTGTGGGCGCTGCCGGCACGCTTGGTGGCACCACGGGTAGTGTGGGCGCCAGGACAGGCTCCAGCTCGGCCTCTATTGCTGGCCCCAGATGCAGTCCTGCATCCAGCATGGACCCCAACTCCACGCTGATCTCGGGCTCTGGCCCTGGTGGCAGGCCTGGGTCTAACGGCTCCTGTATGAGCTCCAGGTTAAGCTCCAGGGGTGGCTGCAGCTCATCCACCTGTCTGGATAGGCAAACACAGGTAAAAGGGCAGGGCTTAGAAGGCGAGGTGTGGCAAGGAATGGGAGAGCAGGAGGAAGAGTAAGGAGTCCGTGGGCAGGGAGCGTAAGAGCAGGAGCTTAGGCAAGAGATCTGCTGTCATTAGAATTCTATCAAATACTAGCTGGGTGACCTCAAGCAAGTTACCAAATTTCTTTGAGGCTCAGATTTTACCATCTGTAAAACACGAACAAAACTATTTAATAATACTTGAGAGGCAGAACAGGATCGTGAAAAGCTGGGCTTTGGAGTCTGATGGACAAGGATCACGTATTAACCATACAACCATAGGTTCAGGCCAGCTTCAGAAGGATGTGGAACAAGGGGCATCCTTGCTGATGTGAGATGGCTCTTGGCTCAAAGCAGAGAATGCAAAAGACATCTGACTGGGTGGACCATAATAAATGATGGATGACCTTGAGAAGAACGGGCATTCCAGAACCCTTCACTGTGCTCATGCTGAACTTCTACCTGGACCACGCGGCAGCTGGTGCCAACAGAACATGGGAATACTGCATGGTTGAAAATCAGGAAAGGTGGGAGTCAGGGTTGAATCCTCTCACCACACTTGTTCAATCTCCATGTTGGACAAAGCATCAGGGAAGCTGGATGATGTGAAGAGAACGTGGCCGCAGAATTGGAAGAAGGCTTATGAACAACCTGCAGTGTGCAGATGACAACCGTGCTGGCTGAAAGTGAGGACTAGGAGCACCTGTGGATGAAGATCAAGGACTGCAGCCTTCAGGATGGATGACAACTCAGTGTAAAGAAGACCAACCTGCTCACCACTGGACGGACCCACAGGGAACGTCGTGAGAGACGGAGAGACGCTCGAACCTGTCAGAGATTTTCTTTCGCTCGGGCCCACGATCTGTGCTCAGGGAAGCAGCAGTCAAGAGATTCCGAGAAGCGCTGCAGGAGGGAAATCTGGGGCACAGGACCTTGTTAGAGCCCCGAAGAGCAAGGACGGTCCTCTGAGGATGAAGGTGCACCTGACCCAGGACGTGGTACTTTCGATGGCCTCGTGTGCATGGGAAAGCTGGGAGGATGACTGCGTTGGAGTTCTGGTGCTGGAGAAGACCAGACCAGGGACTGCCCAAAGGACAAGCAAGTCTGTGTTGGAAGAAGTACGGCCAGAGGGCTCCTTCGAGGAAAGGATGGCGAGACTTTGTCTCACAGGCTTTGGCCATGCTGTCAGGAGAGAGCAGTCCCTGGAGAAGGACATCATGCTTGGTTAAGTGGAGGCGAGGAGAAACAGGGGCAGGTCCTCAAGGAGAAGGATCAACACTGTGGCTGCCACCCTGGGCTCAGAGGAACCGTCGTGAAGATGGGGCAGGACCGGGCAGTGTTTCGTTCTGTTGTGCACAGGGTCGCTGTGGGTCGACTGGGTGGTGCCTGACCACCACCGCCGCCCCTCTAAATCTCAGCGTCCTCAGCTGAAAGCACAAAGAACCATGTCTGCGGCCCAGGACGGCTGTGGAGAGCTGCTCACTGGGAAACGACCTTTGGCGTGTGTGGCACCTAAGAAACTTCCCGTCGATGTGGTTGTTCTACTGAAGTGTCACTGCCTCTTCCGAGAGGCTGTCATGGCACGAAAACAAACGGAAAACAAGTTTTAAAAACAACCACGACTGCGGGTGGCATCCGGCAGGCACTCATTTTCATCAGTGGAGCCAAGGTCAGGAGGAAAGCAGGGAAATGCGAGGAAGGGGAGCGACTGGAGGGAAGAGGAGAGGGCTGGGGAGGGGGGGTGGAGGGAGGGCCAGGGAGAGTGGAACGGGCAGGTGAATGCCACTCTACCAGTCAAAAAGGATGAGGAACGATGGGTGAGAAGTTCATATCTCACCTGCTGGAGACCACGATGAGCTTGTGTCTCAGGTATTTCCTCTGCTCCTGGAGATTCACTGTGGAGGGCAAATACGGAAGGCAGAGGGAGTCAGCACGCTGGGCACAGTCCCAGGCCCAAGAGATGAGTGTAGACAGTGCTGGAAATCACGCCTCTGTAACTAGGAGGGCTGTTGGGCAAACAAACCCTGAACTTTTCTGCGTACTGGTTTCCCATCTTTGCGAAAGGAGTGGGTTTGTGGACGCCCCGGGATTTGCGCAAGGATTCCCACCTTTCTCCCGGTAGTAGCGCCCAAAAGCCACGTCGCGGGGGATGGTGGGGAGGCTGGTGGGGTAGAGGAAGCGCAGTGGGTTCTCAGGCACGTTCTCCTCAACGAGCAGCTGGTAGTGGCGGACGATTTCTGTGAGCGGGAGGGACTGCAGCATCTCTTTGGTGTAGGGCTGCACAGAGTAGATCACGGCCTTCTCTGGAAAAGGGCACAGGGGCAGCGGGATGACGGGGTCCAGCCGGGGCTGGCAGCTCCCCTCCCTGGCTCCCAACCAAACACCTGCCGAGGGGTTCAGGGCAGGGTCAGCGAAGCCCAGGGGAGGCAGAAGGATCGGAGGAGAGCCAGGAAGAAGGCAGAGGCTGAGGGAACAGAGGGCAGGGCAGGGCAGCTGCAGGGCTGACCATCGTCCTGGTGTTCCACCCAGGAGCAGGTGATGCCCCCTTCCGTGGTCTCACTGAAGCGCAGGAGGAAGGTGCCAGAGAGCATCTTCTTCAGCAGTTTGCGCTCCTGGCTCCGGCTTACAAAGCCCATGATGAAGCTGAGCACAGAGAATGCGTGTGAGGCCTGCCCCCCCACCCCAAGGGAGAACCTGCCAGGCTGTGGCTGCTTCTGCCACTTATGTATTGTCCCACCTTGGCCAAGCCATGTCACTTTTCTTTTTTAAAAAAATCATTTTATTGGAGGCTCTTA